GTTACCCTAGTTTTGGTTTGTATGGAAGTAGTAAAGAATGACTTTATTTCTTCTGTTATGGAGATAGACTTAAGACTGAGTTTTAGCATCTTTAATGTCATGTTTTCATATATTGCATCAGACTTCTGAAATTCTACTTGTTTGAATTTTTTCATGAAAAAAAACAAACACTTTTAACTGCCCATTATCAGAGCCCTAGTGGCCTAATGGATAAAGCATTAGCCTCTTAAACCAGAGATTGTGGGTTCAAGTCCCACCTGGGGTGAAAAGCTACTTCTTTGGGGAGGGATAGTTCAGTGGTTTGAGCATTGGCCTGCTAAACCCAGGGTTGTGAGTTCAGTGCTTGAGGGGGCCACTGGGGCAAAAATCAGTACTTGGTCCTGCTTGTGAAGGCAGGGGGCTAGACTCGATGACCTTTCAGGGTCCCTTCCAGCTCTATGAGATAGGTATATTGCCATATATTTATTATAATCAATCATGATAAAGAGTAGTTTTTGTACATAGGCCAGTACATTTTTTGTAGAAATTTTGGATGGATAGTTATGTTTCTAGTGTAAACAGGGCTGCTTTTAAAAACATGTTTATTTGTGCCTTACACCTAGGTTGAAACAAAAGATCTATTTATCTTCAGAGACCAAGTGTATTTGTCACCCAATACATTTAGTTATCGGGCAATATAGAGGAATTGTCTAATTTCAAAATTAAAATCAGTTATATATTAATTTGATTTAAGACGTGGTGTTTCAACTGTGGCCTGAAAAAACCTAAGCCTGTAGTACTAGTGTAAATTTTGAGAATAGTTTGTAACATGGAGAACATATTACAGCAAAGTTGACCTTGACCTACATTTGCTAAACCATTCCAGACACTTGTGGCTTTGGAACAGTATACAGACTGGCTTGAAAAGGGACAATTCCCATTGAATTTGGAGACCACCACATGAAATACTAACTTGCCTGCTGAAGGATGGAAAGCACAGCTGAGTTATGATGTCACTGCGTCTGAGGTATCTGAAAAGGTGCTTTTCAGCCCAGACCAGCACCACTCAGTTCTTTCCTTGCCTCCCAATTTCCCTCTTCTTGATATAAGTTGCTGTTCGTCTCATCTGTCTGGATTCTTATGCTTTTGCCGTTGCTGAATGCCTGAAACTACAAGAGCTCCAAATATTCTGGGATTCCTAAATGACACAGAGGAAGGAGGATGGGGGACAAAACCATAGACAGGGTTAGAAATTTATGCTTATCTGAAAAGGAAGAGCAGATTTAGCGTTAGCTTGGGCATCATGGCTAAGATTATCTTTCCTCTACAAATTGTAATGTAACAGTCATAGGTAGGGTGACCAAATAGCAAGTGTGAAAAATCACGACAGCAGGGGTGTGTGTGTGTAAAAAAGATAGGAGCCTATATAAGAAAAAGCCCCAAATATCAGGACTGTCCTTATAAAATCAGGACATCTGGTCACCCTAGTCATAGGATGCATCAAAAGAAACAAGTCTGCCAGAGGCACCAGTCAATCTTACAGAAACTTTAAATGATCTAAAGAAGCTGCTTTCTTAGCTTGTAGAGCTTGAATAAAATCTCAGCATAATGCCAGAAACGTTGATAGCCAACTCTGTTCTATTTCTGTGCAAAGTAGAGCCTATCACAGTCATACATGCTAGTACTCAGACACTCCTGAGGACAGTGTTGTTCTAGCCATTTTGGTCCCAGGATGTTAGAGAGAAGGTGAGTGAGAATATCTTTTATTCAACCAACTTTTGTTGGTGAGGCTTTTCCTACACTGGACTTCCTTCAGCAAAACTTTTGTCGTTCAGGGGTGTGAACCCTCCCCTGAACGACAAAAGTTTTGCTGACGAAAAGCGCCGGTGTGAACAGCACTTCGTTAGCAGGAGAGCTCTCTCCTGTTGACAAACAGTGGCTACACTGTGTGCCTTTTAGCAGCATGGCTGTAGTGGCACAGCTGTGTTGCTAAAAGGTGCGTCAGTGTAGACATAGCCAAAGAGACACTTTTGAGCTTATACAGTACTCTTCTTCTGGGAAAGGTATTCAGTGTGTCACAACTGAATACAAGATTCAACAAATAGTTTAGCAAAAGTAATTAGCACATATTCTAAGAGACAATTCAATGTGAAGTAGCCCATTAACACCCCCTTTTTCTCCTATAACTATGAGGGTGGGGTTAGTGTAATAAGACATAAATCCAGTGTCTTAAGACCATGATTTTTAGTGTCTACCAAAGTTATGAACTTAGTTCCCTGGCTCGTCTTTTGAAAGTATTGTGCGGGTTTCCCTTAAGGATAAGAACTGACAGGTCAGATATAGAATGATCGCTTTGTGAAAAGTGTTCACCCACAGGTGAGATAGGAAAAAGACACACACTGAGTTCATTTAAGAACATAGTGATGGTCTGGTTTCACATACATAGTTAATGGGGTATTTATTGCATTAGATAAGGTACACCACCTGTGATAGGTATAAGTAAGACCCATGAAACTTGAAAGGTGCATTGTGGGGAGTGTTGACCATTATAGTAGTGGAGATATGTCTGCAGGTTTTGCATCTGTTTTTCTGGCAAGGTTGGGTGCTGCTTTGAGTTGGTGGGTCCTGGTCTGTGGGGAGCTTGCTTCTGATGTTGATGAGCTTGGAGAGGTTGGGGGTTGCGTAAAGGCCAGAAGAGGTAAGATTTCTTTCAAGTATGGGTGGTAGTTTGATGATACCCCATATGGATTCCAGTGTGAGGTAGGAACTATGTGTTTAGTCAGAGCAGGTTTTATTTCTGTATTGAAGCAGGTTCTCTTGGAGTATTTGGATAGCCTGTCCCATGATGCAAGCTACTTCTCTGGTGGAGTGTCCTTGTTTGGACAAGGCGGTTTTGAGTGTAAGTGTATATCCCAGACTGTCTCCTCAGAGCATAGTGCCTGGCTGGAGATAACATTTCTTGGTGCATTTGTGAAGGTTACTGGACCTATAAAGGTAGGTGTGCTGATCTGTGGGTTTCTTAGTTGCCTGAAGTGTTCCATTGCTGAAGCCAATTGTGGTGTCTGGGAAGTTGATGCTAGTGGGGAAATGTTCCAGAGTTTAATGGACAGGTGGTGGTTGTTGAAGTTGTGGTGAAAATCTGAGGGCGTTTGTTATTTGTCCAGAGGATGAAAATTCCATCAATGTATCTCATTTGCAAATGTACTACAAAACCAATTATCTTGGTACTAGCACATAAGTGACTAAATGGACTAGAGAATAAACAGTTAACGGATTTACAACAGAAACAGTGAAACAAGTTATAGTATGGAGGCATGGGAAACTGGACTAGTCTCAGCAGCAGACAGAATACCAATGAAACAATCTTATATTAACGTTGGCTGGAAACTTCTGGGAAAATCTAGAAATGGAGCTTCAAGGTGTGACCAAAAAGTAATTTAGCAAATCTCTTCATAAGCATGTATTCTTTTCAAGTTTCTGTTAAGTACTCAGGACTAGATTTTTAAAGGCATTACTGTGCTCAGCATTGCAATGCTTAACTGATTTAGAAGTCTAAATTTCATTTTTAAAAGGGATTCAGGCACTTAGGAGCCTAAATCCAAGGTGTAGCAATGCCGAAATACCTTTAAAAACCTGGGCCTTGGTTTAGGGTAACAGACATGCAACATTACATATTCAAAACCAACATTTTAAAGTTAATTTTAGGAGTCAAGTGAAATAAGATGCATGTATCTTTTGAAAGGCCACTTCTATAAATGCATATATTAGCCAAAGCAGATAATACTTGGCTTAGCTGGAAAGACTCTCTGCACATTAAACTAACAGCTAGGCATAATTGCATAATAGAAAAAAATATTCTTTCAGTTCATAGAACATGCTTGTCAAGATGCTTAGTACAGCTATGCTGCATTTAATATAAATTTGTGCACTTACATATTTGACAAGTCCCATACATAACTGTAGACACATCCTAGCTCAGTCATTGTACAGAATGCTGAACATATTTGTGTCTTCCCTGCATCCGTAATTTAACACAGGCATTCTTGAAAAAACTAGCCCTTTAAAGGAAAGACATCAGCAACTTCCACCTGCCGAAGACAGAAAAGTCAATTAAGAATGTTTAAACATCAAAGCAATCTTGGGGGAGATTTTCAAACTCTAGGTACACAACTACACTAACGCTCCTCTGTATGCCTTTTGAGCATCTAGGGGGAAGATGCCTCAGATGTTTAACCCTAACTCACTCACCCTTTGGATCCATCCAGAAAACAGACATCTTAAGCAAATTTCCATGGGCATCATTAGATTTAGGAAGGAGTCATCACCATCCATGCTGTGGTCACACCAATTGCAACATAAAACCTAGGTTGTATTTATAAACAATTATTTGACTACAATAAAGAGAAAGGTTACAGCACTTATATCCAGTTTAATAAGGATTACCTGCCGTCACCTTCTAATTTGTGTGTTGATGCAAATATTTTCTAATCTAAAAATTCTTAAATATTCGAGCCCTCTATAGTACATTTTCAATCCAGCTAAGTCGTACCAATTTAACTTGCAAGTTTTCATACAGTGCTTCATCCAGCTAGTTCTTTAATACAAACTCACTATCCGTTTGGAATTATGAAAGCAATGTTTTACTACTAAGCAAATAAAGATCACCTCATGTCCAAGTTTAATACAAAAAACATTTTCAAGTTCACTGAAAGCTCACATACAAATGGTATGGTCTGACACAAACTTGAGTTAAAAATATGCATCCATCTACTGCAGTGGGAAAACTTAGCTATACGATGCTGCCTTTTCAACCAGCCATTTTCAAAAGCACTTAAACGATTAAAATTCTAAGTTAAAGACACATTCAGCTACACACACTAGAAACAGGAGTATTTATATTTAGAAATAAGTTTCATGGAAGTGAGGAACTGGAATGTACTTAAAATCTCTAGTTAGAGATTTGAGACTCATGAGACAGACATGAAATAGGTCATAACACCTGTGGGAAGACAAAAGTCTGCTAAATGCAAAAAATGTTTATTTTTTTCCACGTTGTACTCGGTCCCTTGATATACCAGTGAAAACAACTGAACTATTTGCAATCTCTTCTCCCCATACAGAGAATACCAAAAGGTTCCAGCAACAACATCTCTTTTCCCTCCCTTTCCTATCATGTACTTTGATTTTTTTTCCAGCACCAGTTTACCAAGGTAAATATTGCTCATTTTATAGCAAAAATGTATATCACATTTGATCCATGCCCCCCCCCCTCCCCAAAAGTGCCCTTAGGGACGAGATGAATTACACACACTCTAAAACGAATGTGTAAGTCCTTAATGAAAGCAAATACTAACCCACATTATATTAACTTCTGTTAATCAAAAATAGGTTGATAAGAAAGTCTAGGTAAGAGTGGGACATACTAATTTAGACAAGACGTCGGAACACATCATTAGAGATTTAAAGGCCTCTAGTAATACTTTTTGTAGTAATTAGCGCAAGACAGTTCTCATATAAACAACTATTTGATGGTAGACTTCAATGATAAACAATTCACTTGATGACATTTACATATAAATACACATAAATAAAAACCTATATAATTTAGGTCTGAAATTAACAAAAGTGTGACTTGAACTGTAATTGCATCTAGCTGTATCAGAGCTTTTCCTCTAATGATGCTCAAGTTGTATAAAAAGCATAATTGTACAATTCTTAGTTTAGTAAAGTACTACTCTATAAAACAGAATCATGAAAACAGCGCTTACATTTTAATGTAATGTATAAAATGTATATTTACATTTACACACTTTACTGAACTACGTAAGGTAGCTCATGGTAAAAAAACAAATCCCTTCTTGAAAGTCTTTCAAAAATACATCAACTGCAAATATTTATGATTAAAAGTTACTAAATTAGCAGCTGACAGGACATTTATAGTAAAAAATATACTTTAGGAAAATAGCTGGAAAAAATCTAAACATTGATAAACACTTTAAAACTATATTTAAACAGAAAATTTTAGCAAAAACAGACATAAAAACTAGGGTAATGGGAACTATTGCATATTGCTCCTCAAGAGCCCTGCGGTAACTGCACGCAGAACAGAGGAAGTGGATAGGGAAGGAATTAAGTGGTGGTAGGAATGAAGTGTTGATCCAGAATCAGGAGGTAAAGGAGAACCCAGTCTCTCTCTATAACTGCTGCCTCTTTTAGTGGGGGGGTGGGGAGAGGAGGAGGGAGAAGGAAAACAAAAGACAGAGAAACCCTCTCACTGAACGTACACCCCCTTCAAAGGCTAGAAAAGTTTGCAAAAAAGCCTAATTCTGAAAGCCTTGAGCCCTAACTTAAAACCATTTACAGTATGTATTTACAGTTAAATGGACAAAACAGTGACACTACAAATTGCATGTTAACTTCAAAAATTAACGTTTTGCAATATGAAGTGCTTTATATTTTTTATAAAATACATGTGCAGTTTTGATAGAGTAAACTATCTTAAAAATTGTTTCCACAAGTCCTCTGTTTCCTTGAAGGATCTTTGTCTTCTGCACATTTAACAGTTTCAAGATTCAACAAGGATCTCCACAATATGATCAAGCTCATTAAGATCAGATTTACAGTTAGAGTTAGAATTTGCAGATGTCTGAGAAGGAAATGTTTCGAGATCACAGTGTCCCATTTTTGTGTTGCTCATCATTCCTGTTAATACTGTATCTAGGTCATAGTAAGAATTGTCAACTTCTGAAAATAGATCTTCAACTGTATTAGGACTTTTATTCTCTAACGTCTCAAATATTTGATCTAATGATTTTTGAAAGTTTCCTCTATTTTCTTGTGGGTTCTCCATTTCCCACATGTTACTTTGCAGGTTTCTTGGAACTTGTGGTGACGTAACTGTTGACATAATTTCTGAATTATCTTGTGACTGGGTACCCTCACAGTCTTTAGTGAAGGTACTATAAACTGGAACAAGTTTTCCTTCAGCTTGTTCCTTGGATGAACGGCAAAGGATATCTGTTGAAACTAGACGATCTAGAGAAGTCTGTCCTGCACTCTGTGTATTTATCATCTGCCAAGTCCCATCCTGGGTCATTTCCTCTTGGATTTGCCGCACCGTATTGGCTATAAGTACCGAACGACAAAGATTAGGTTCAACGAGCATGTGGCATAATTGAAGTTTGACCAAAGACATATCTAAAAGTGACTGTCGCTGAAGATTATATGAAGGGATAGCCTTAAAACCAGCCAGAGTTCCTTCAATATCTTCTTCACCATCAAAACATTTTCTCTTCAATCCTCGCACAAACATTGTGTCCTGTTGAGAAAAAATGAGAGAGACTCTTTAGCACAATCCAGGGGCCTAATAAGTTAGACACTGCAGTAATGAAACTACTGCAAAAAAAAAAAAAAAAAAAAACCCCACTTTAGAATCTTTCATTTCAGAAACAATTAAAATCACTTGAAGACATAAGAATGGTCATACCAGGCGCTAGCAATGATGTATCTGGTACAAGATGCTTCAGAGGGATGTGTAAAACACAATGGACAATTTTACAGCAACATACCTACACGGGAAAGCCTGTTTCAAACTACAGGCAGCCAGTCAGTGATTGATTTATCTTCCGAAACGTGTGTGTTAGCTATCTAGTCTAACTGCAGATACTGGTCGGATAAGCATACAAATGTTCTCTGAATTTTACTGATATTGACCGTATCTTAGAGTATGGAGTGCCACAAGGTAATTTGTTAGGTGTTTAAAAGAAGAAAAAAATTAAATTGGGCCTTGAATTTCAATGGGTGCCCCCTGATTCTAATGTAACAGTCAGGGTAAGTCAAAGTGCACACATGATGCTCACTACACAGTTTACTATTCTATACATGACTGCCAGAAACAGACTGTGACTGGATGGATCACTCAAAATTAACCTATTCTTTTCATACCTCTGAAACATCTGGCATTGGCCACAGTCAGAGACAGGATACTGAGCTAGATGAACCATTGGTCTGACCCAGGTTTTTTTGGTGGGGAGGGGGGTAACCAAACCTAAACAAGTTATTCAAGATGAAAATGTACTAGCTTCCCCCATGACATTTTCAGTATTTCTCTACTTCCCTCAACAAACCGTAATCTCTCATTTTAGGTTTCTGACTGCTACTGTGCACCGAGCAGATGTTTTTTCTATGAGCTCTCCTCCATGTCTTTTTCCTGTGTGGTTAGTTAACCCAAAATCCAACATATGACAAGGTAAATTGTTCCTTCCAAGATGTTAGACTGCATTTGTCTACACTGACTTTAAACTAGGGAACAGAATGGCAGGTTAAAGGGCTTCTAAAATTCCTTACAATACAATGCTCACTAAAAAAGTATCAAAGAGTCCTGTGGCACCTTATAGACTAACAAGACATATTGGAGCATAAGCTTTCGTGGGTGAATACCCACTTTGATACTTTTTACAGATCCAGACTAACACCGCTATCCCTCTAAAAAAGTAGATCACCTGAGTGTTCACCCCTCTTCCAGATTGTTAATATATTACACTGCTGATACTATGGTTCTGTGGGCACCTCACTTTAAAATTCCACACACAATAAAGATACTTGCCCTGCTAAAATTGTGGTTCTCAGAAATCAAGTGTCCATTTGGACGGACACACTCTTGGGGTAAGTATCCCTTGCTTGTGGGATACTGGAAAATTCTGGAAAGCAGTGCATATTGGGGCTACTCACCCCAAGCTTGTGTGGTTAATGTCACCTTAATGCTGCATTTTCCTGGTTTGCTACATTGTTTTTTACTTTAACTGTAATGTTATTGTAAGGGATATATACGACCCTACTGAATATCAAATGTTTGAAAAACAGTTTATATTTGAAAAGTAAACTCACTGAATGGAAAGGAATGTGGAGCAAAACAACAATACTTTACTGCTTTTTGTGGGGGAATTCAAATATAGGAACAGCACCAAGCGGAGATGAAACTAAATGAAATCCTTCAAGATTAAAAAAAATAAAATTCAGATTTTGCCAGAAAGTCCCACTGGTTTCTATTGCATTCATTCACTTTCAAATTGATAACCCACATCATAAATATAGAATCTTGTTGCCCAATTTCTGAGACTGCACAAAAAATAGCTGGTTTAAAAGTTTCACTTAAGAAGTTACATACCAGTAACTGCGTTTGGTGGAGTCCTTCCTCTTCTCCCATGCTATAGAACAAGATTCCATACAGCAAGTGTTATAGCTTCACCTACCAGGCAACAGGAGACAGGAAGTCAGTCAATTACAGGAGTCACACAGCAAAACTTCATCCCTTGTTGCTATTTCAGGTACTTTAGATAGTCTCCATTACTTGATTATCTGAGCACCTCACAAACTTTAATGAACTGAGCCTCATAACACACCTGTAAGGCAGGGCAGTGCTATTATCCCCATTGTACAGATTTTGAGCAGAGGGGCTGAATGATTTGCCCAAAGTCACACAGAAAATCTGTGTGAAGGTTAAGGACTTAAACCCAGGGTCTCCTAAGGCCTAGGCTAATGCCCTAACCATTGGACCATTCTTCCTTTCTTCTCCTCTCTTTCTTAGCCACTGAAATAGTAAACTAAATATTTAGCAGTCACTTGGGGTATTGAAATATACATAAAAATTACATAAGAGGGGAGAAAAGACAAATCATCTCTAAAACAAAAGGAAAAACATACAGTATACTTCCATTTACCTGAAACTCTACTATCCAAACTTCCATATTATCCAAATCCCTTCCTTGTCCCCACTGTATCCAGGAGATAAGGAAGGAATTTAGATAAGGCAGAGGTTAGGTTAATAGACATCCCCCCCCAGCCAGGACTGCAAGAAGGAAAAGGACGACAAGCCCCAAGCCATGGGAAAGCCACCCTGCTGCTGAATGGTCCTGCAGCAGCGCAGGGAGCCCTTTGCAGCCCTGCTGTCACAGGAGTGAGTGAGTGCAGGGTTGTGACAGCAGAGCTTCAGGACTCCCTGCACTGTCACGGGGCCAGTGACACTTGACCCCTACAGGCCCACAGAAGGTTGCATTTTTGGCAGGGCAGAGCAAAGTCTTAGCCAGGGATTTCTGCTGTCCCACACCTGCAAAGATTGGGTGTCACTGGTCGTGGCAGCGCAGGGAGCTCTCTGCAGCCCCACTTCTCATGGGAGCGAACGGGGCAGAGCAGAAACCCTCGGCCAGGACTGCAAAGAGCCAGCCTCTGATGTCTCCTCCCCTCTCTATTAGCTGAGCTCCCAATTATCCACATAAAAGCTGCATGCCCCATGCTACTTGAATAATTAGGGTATACTATATTACTGATTTTGTCACTCTCTTCTCCCATCCTACATGAAGATTATATAAAGCAAATGTAAGTGGTAAGCTGTGAAATAAGGAGGTGAGTTTTCCTATAGCAGCAGCCATGAGAACGTTGTGACTAAAATTTGCCTTGCAAGGGGATAGATTTGCTAGCATATAGTGTAGGAGAAATGTGTTTTGTTCATAAAAGCAATTAGACTTTCAAAACAAATTTGGGGCTAAATAAAGTTTGATAGACCTCTTAACATATTGACTATGAATGTTGTCTGCACTAGAGTTACCGGATCAGGAAAAAATAGCTAATCCATTTGAAATTCTGAAAGCTTCAAGGGTAAAGTACAAAAATAACCAAAATTTTCTTCTAGAAACATCTGTCATAAATAAGAATTCAGTGACCCCAGCTCAGTTAAATAGGAAGGGGGGAGGAAGGCATTTTCCCAATAATGCTACTTTTTACCAGTTGTACACCCTAAGGACAATCTGTTACCGAATGCATCTGGACTACATGGTAGCCATCTGCATCCTGAATCTGACTGAACCCTCTTAAAATAAAATCAAGACATTCTAGTAAAGATCAAGCAACATTAAAAGATGCTGCAGATTTGAGAATAAGTAACCAAGATAGGAGTGTTTTCTATTACTATATGGATATTTGAGCATTCTAGAAAATAAAGCCTTACTTCAAAAGAGTCACGATCACCTGCCAAAACTGAATGAAATGGGAATGTCTGCTGAAGAGAACATGAGCTTTCCATAAAAGGACAGAGGGGAGGATTCATTATCAGGTCCAGAAACTAAAGGACAAAGTGATATCATATAGAGATGGTTTCAGCCCAGTCAAACTGGAACTTCAGTAATACACACTGGGAAAAGAACAGGTACCCAACACAAGAAAATGATACACATGACCTGTTGCATGTGATTTTTGCTCACAAGAACAAATAACTATACCGACACAAGCCCTGTGCCTCTCGTGGAGTGGGAGTTATATTCAGTGTGGTAGTACACTTACATCAGTGGGAGCAAGGCTGTAGTGTGCATATGGACATAGTTAGGTCAACATAAGCTGCCTTATGTCTACCTAACTGTGTAGTGTAGACCAGGGCTAATAAATTTAATTGTAAACACTTGTTGCTCTGCTGATCACTATATCAGAACAATTCAATAAGTGTGCTTGGTCCACAGCTGTTGGACCAAGTGACAAATGAAGTCAAGACTGTTGTCTGTTTGGAAGCTAAAAGTTCAAGTACCCCACCCCCAACAATTTCAAGTAAACTTTAACCTTGTCTAAAAAGGGGAAGAAAAGTTACATCCTTTCCCTAGCACTCTACTACATGAGTGCCAAAAGCCCAAACTGTTCTGTTTTCCTGTGTGCCAAAAGCGGCAAGAGTCCCTCGATTTTGCGGTTAATCTTCGACAGCTCCTACAATACAGATGTGTCAAAATAAAAATCTGCAGCATACGGACATCTGAAAATTTGAAGAATAGCATAAAATATATTGGATTGAATATAAAAAGAAGTAGTTCAAGGAATAGTATTATTAATGTGTTGAAATCCTGAAAATAATAATGTTTTAAATTTACTTGAATCTGGCGCAGAGCTTCCAGTTTGCTGTAGAAGCAGTGACCTTACCACAGAATTTAGGACCAGATTTTGCTAAATTAGAAATGACTGCACAGACACCATTTCTGAGACAATACCCAAGTAGAGCATGTGGCTGCGAGAAAAGGAAACCCTTAGGACCCCAGTGGGGACAGTGCCAGGTCACCCACCCCCTAGCAATATAGAGTTGTGTGTGATTGATGTGGGAGTACAGGGATGTACATAATGGTAATGAGAGGCTGGGACAAAAGGATAGTCTAGTCTTCCCCTTAACATACAGAGGATGTAGTGGAAAGAGTAAAAAGGTGCATGTGGTGGCGATAGGGCAGGAAAAGTGCAGAGGTGCATATGGCTGTCTGTGTGTGGGGTGGGGAGGAGGGGGTTCATCCCCCCGGGGTTACAAAGGTGTCCTCCCACAGTGGCAGGGCAGCGGCCCACTCCCCTAAACGTGCAGCCCCCACGGGGTGGCAGGAGTCACTCTCCCAGAAGTACAGAGACGGTATGTGCTGGTGATGGCAGAGGATGTGAGGGGGGGAAACACCGCCCGGGAGTAAGGAGGTGGGGGAGGAGCAAAGCGCTGCGGCGGGGATTAAGAACTGGGGGGCAGGGTGCGTGTGGGGAGCTGCTGGCCAGGGTGACGGTGGGTCAGGGCCAGTGTGCTGGACCTGCGGGGCAGTATGCGCGAGGGGGGCGCTGAGACTGGGTGGCGAAAGGAAAGCAGTGAGCGGAGGCTGCGGAGTACTCGGGGGGCGCCTTCCCCGCCGCAAAGCGACCTACCCCGCCCCGAGGAGACCCTGGGCGGCGGCAGCTGCTGCTCGTCGCCCCTCTCTGCCCTGGGACCCCGGGGAGGGGGATCCGCCGCCATTTTGAATCCGCTCTCCACCCCGGGCTCTTCCCCGCCTACCCGCGTCCAGACCCGGCGCCTCATTTCTCTGCCCGCGGGGCAGCGACAAACCCCGGTGGCGGCTAATCCCGGGCCCGCAGAGCGCTCAGCCCGACCCTACTCACCGCCTCGTCGCCTCCCGCTCCTCCCCGACCCGAGCCCGGCTCCCGCCTCACCGACCGCTCCGCGCCTGAGAGAGGGGGCGGGACCAAGCACACTAGCCAGCCCCGCCTTCCCCCCACCCGCCATTTTATTGTCAAAGCCCACAAAGAAACGGCCGCCCGCCCCCCCCACCAGGCCTGCCATTGGGGAATGCCTCCACCACGAAGCCCCGCCCACAGCCAACCGCTGACCGTCATTGGCTGTCTCCTGAGTGTGTAGCGCCGCCCACATGGGATCCAGCCTTCCATTGGGTGATGGGTTACCATGGTGCTCAGCCCCACCCGCCCCTTAATGTGCGACTGGCTGAGGGGTTACCATGGAGCCCGGACTCGCCCCTTAGCTGTAACTGGCTGAGGGAAAGGACGAGGTGGAGTCTAGTGTTCAAATAGCTGCCAATGGGCTAGGCGGGCCTGCGCCTGGTCTGCCTCATTGACTTGCCTGGGCTCCTGGCCATTGACTCCAATGTCAGCAGAAGCGGGGCCTGGCTGAGAGCAGCCCTGTAATCCCTCCCTCCCGCCACGTGCCCACCAGGAGGTGGTGGCAGAGGAGCCCCTACCTCACCAGGGCACCTGCCCTTTTGCTGCACTGGGCTCATCCTGCACATCATAGCTGGGCACTGTATCCCCTCGGCTTAGTGCTTTCCCCCTTGCTGGGGGCTCCTCCGCTCTCAGCATGAAACCTAGCGCGCCTGGCCGGCTCACAAATTCCTTGCCTGGCCCTTCTGTTACACAGCAGCACCTATGGCCGGGACCGCAAGGGAACATACAAACAGTCCTACTGGGTCAGACAGTGGTCCAGCTAGCAGTTCTTCTGGCAGTGGCCGCTGCCAGGTGCTTCAGAGGGAATGAACAGAGCAGGGCAATGATTGAGTGATCCTTCCCCTGTTGTCCAGTCTCAGCTTCTAGCAGTTGGTGGTTTACGGCAGTGGTTTTCAACGTTTTTTTTCTGGGGACCCAGTTGAAGAAAATGGGTGATGCCTGTGACCCAACGGTGCTGGGGATGAGGGATTTTGGGTGTGGGAGGGGCTCAGGGTTGGGGTATGGGATTGAGGGCTGTGGGGTGGTGTTGGAAATGAGGGGTTCAGGGTGTCAGAGGGGGCTCTGGGCTGGGGCAGGGAGTTGGGGTGCACGAGGGGGTCAGGGCTGCAGACTGGGGGTGCAGGCTCGGGTGGGGCCAGGGATGAGGGGCTTGGGGTGCAGGAGGGGCTCCAGGTTTGGGTGGGCTTAGGGCTGGGGCAAGTAGTTGGGGTCAGGGATCTGGGCTGGGGATGAGGGGTTTGGGTGCAGGAGGGGCTCTGGGTTTGGGGAGAGCTTAGGGGTTGGGGCGCAGACTTACCTCTGGCAGCTCCCAGTCAGCAGTGCAGCCGGGGTGCACCGCGGACCGTGCTGCACCCTAGAAGCGGCCAGCAGCAGGTCTGGCTCCTTGGCGGAGGTGCTACTCTTGCCTGCAGGCACTACCCCTCCCCCCCATTCCCATTGGCCAGTTGCCGGCCAATGGGAGTGCAGAGCCGGTGCTTGGGGCAGGGGCAGCGTGCGGAGCCCTGTGGCCCCCCTGCCTAGAAGCTGGGCCTGCTGCTGGCCACCAGGGCCGCCCAGAGGATTCAGGGGGCCTGGGGCATAAAAAAAGGCGCCACCCGCTGCGGCGCTTGTACTCACTGGGCGGCAGTCCAAGTCTTCGGCGGCGGGTCCCTTGACTCGCTCCGGGTCTGAAGGACCCGCCGCCGAAGTGCTGCCGAAGACCCGGAGCGAGTCAAGGGCCCGCCGCCGAAGACCCGGAGCGCTGCTGGGTGAGTAAAGATTAAAAAGGCGCCTCTACCCAGGGAAGGGATTCTCGGCCAGGGCTCACGGGGCCCCTGCGGGGCCCAGGGCAAATTCCCCCACTTTTGCCCCCCCCCCGGGCAGCCCTCCTGCCCACTTCTGGGGCACAGCACGGTGTCAAAAAAGGTGGGCATGAGCCTGCCTTAGCTGGGAGCACCGCCAACAGAAGTTTTAACGTCCCAGTTGGCGGTGCTGACCAGAGCAAGGTGACCCAGCGCCTTACATGCTGCGACCCAGTAGTGGGTCACGACCCACGGTTTGAAAAACCGTTTTAGGGACACCCAGAGCATGAGGTTGTAGCCCTGATGATCTTGGCAAATAGCCATTAATGGACCTATTCTCCAGGAACTTATCTAATTCTTTTTTAAGCCCAATTATACTTTTGGCCTTCACAACATCCCCTGGCAATGAGTTCCACAAGTTGACTGCATGTTGTGTGAAAAAGTACTCCCTTATATTTGTTTTAAACCTGCTGCCTGTCAATTTTATCAGGTGACCCCTACTTCTTGTGGTATGTGAATGGGAAAATAATACTTCCCTGTTCACTTTCTCCATACCATTCATGATTTTATAGACCTCTCTCATCTTCCCCTTTAATCATCTCCTTTCTAAGCTGAACATATCTCAGATCCCTATTCCCATCACACATGGTCTTCATTCTTCTCTTAATGTTGTCCTCAAGACTCAAACATTTTCACACACCTAATTATTTTTCTCTAGCCAATCTATCTAATCTCATAGTGCCACCACATCTCACAATTTGAGCAGAGTCATGCAATATTTGGTGTTTTTCTTAAAGCCTCAGCTCCTAGACTCAGGTGATTATGTGAAAATCTCTGCTTTAAATTTTTTTAAATTAAGTTTGCAACTCTCATAGTTGTGGAGACAGTCTTGAAAATGCAAAACTCTCAGGAGGCAAATAAAAAGAACCCAAAATATATTATTTTTAAAATCTCATTTTTGAACACTTGGAGTTGGCAATACTGATTCAGTCTTGATGTTGTTGCCCTCTGTAAACACTTTGTTCCTAACTCTTAGCTGCTGTAAGCTTTCCTCAGCTCCGTACTGGCTGTTTGGCTCTCAATTGATCAGAAAGGAAGGGCAAGTCAGGTCTAGCTCACAACTGAAAGCTGTGCTGCTGTTTCTGGCCCTCAGCTGGCAGAAAGAGGATCTGCAGCCTTGAGGGAAGATGGGAGGAGAATGTAGGACAAAAAATTAAACTCTGAAAACGGAGAGGAGGAGTAGGATGGGCTGTAGAAGGAGCAAGAAATAAGATAGAAGTTGGAGATTAGGTGTAGGGAAGGTTGAAAACAAGTAATAATAGCCTGCACAGAGTAAAATTAACCAGAAGTTGGGAACAGGGTTAGGCTAAAAATTGTAATGTCTTTTTTATTCTTGGGTCTAACCTGCACTGCTCTTACCACAGCATGGTGCAGAATTCCCAGTCAAAACGCTAAAAGAAAAGAAAGTGATACCACAGAAGAAAAACTGCCACATGTTCAGACAGACAGACACTAATTCCTTCTGGCCTAGTTGCAAAGAACTTAGGCCCTGATCCTGCAGTAAGCCCTGAAAGGGCTATCCTTGTGCTAGCCTAGAGCCCTGTTACTGGGTTCAACGGGTATGGTTCTTTGCAGGACCAAGACGGTAAAGTAAAGTGCAAAGAAAAAAAGTGTTAACAAACAAAGGGCATAAATATGTATATAAAAGGACTTAAGATTTTTCTCCCTCACAATTATTTTTTCCTTTAAGTTAGAAATATCAGGTCTCAACATCTCCTAACTTTCAAAAAGTTCTCCAGCAAAATGAGGGACCTAGTTAGATTCTGATATAACAGGAGACTGAGCGGGGAAGGAGTTTTACTGTTTAAAACTCTGATTTTGTCAATGCAAACTGACATAATATGGCCAGGGAGAAAAACTGTGAAAGATTCAACCTTCTATCTCTTCAGTTAAGGTCTGAGGAAGCTCCCATGGCAGATCTCTAGTCAAGGTATGACAAGACTTGATATTTTTAGGAAAAAAATTAAACAATCCTTGTGTTTCCTTTATACATGAGAAATAAAACCTAGCAAATCACAATGATATGATCTGGATAAACCTATACAAAACAATGTAACCCAAGAGATTTACTAGAGAACAAACCATCACAAAGCTAAAAATAAAGCAATAACGACAACAAGGCTGTGTCACCTTTACCCTTTCCACCCACCCACCAACCAACCAACGACACTGAACCAAACTCTCTTGTGTTGGAAAGAACATAAAAAGCTAGACTGCTAGTTTCCTATACAGAACTTTCACATTAGCAGGCTCCCTCAGCACAGTGAAATGTTCACAACTAAGATGACTCTTAGCAAAAGCAGAATCTATGACTAGAAGTCAGAAGTAAAGACTAAGGGGAGACAAAACACCATGAAAAAACAGAGAGAAATGTCTGCAACAGCTTAATAGAGGAAACTGAAATCGAGACGCTTTCTACTCCAGCATAAGAGAGAATGCTTAAAAATCAGGTCTCTTCAATGAACAGATATGACCTAGGACTTTATGTTGCCATCAAATCAGAAATGGCTAGTAGCCTGTGAGGAGCACTCTGCAGCCCTGTCCTGGGATGCCATGTCCCTCACTGTAGCTACTTTTGGCACCTTTGAGACTAACAAATTTACAGCTACAGCCCACTTCATCGGATGCATAGAATGGAACATATAGTAAGGAGAGAGGTCTCTCTCCTTACTATATGTTCCATTCTATGCATCCGATGAAGGAGACCTCTCTCCTTACTATATGTTCCATTCTATGCATCCGATGAAGTGGGCGGTAGCCCATGAAAGCTTATGTTCAAATAAATTTGTTAGTCTCTAAGGTGCCACAAGTACTCCTGTTCTTTTTGCGGATACAGACTAACATGGCTGCTACTCTGAAACCTGTAGCTACTTTAGCAGGCAACACAAAGCTGAAGGGTGGGGGAGGGGGAAGTGATTCATATGTCCTGGGAAGAATCTAGCACTGAATTACCCCCTTCCCCTGCCTAGGCGGCAGGGCAGCTGTCTTAACTGGGCCCCCACAGTGCAAGGCTAGGCAGGTTCAGCTTGGCCAGGCTGCTGTAGCCAGTCCCCTGCTTGCTACCTG